CTCTCTCTCTCTCGGATCACTCATTCTAGAGGAAGCCAGTTTGTGAGGACACACAAGGAAAAGTACGGAGGCCTCTTGCCCACAGCCAGTGAGCCTTTCTAGAGATAGATTCTCCAGCCCAGTTGGGCCCTCCGGAGTCAGCACCTTGGCTGCAACCTCATGAGACCCAGAATTCCACACAAATAGAAACTGTAAGATAATAAATGTTTGTTGTTTTAAGCCACTAAATTTGGGGGTGATTTGTTACACAGCAATAGATAATAAATAGGAGGCCTCAAACAATTTGCATTGATGGGAACGATAACTGTTTGTATTTACCCTATTAGAAATTAAAACTGAAGAATGTTAAAAATATTTGTGTATTAGTTCATTGAAAACAGCAGTGATAAATATATATAGTACGTGTTAAGGTAGATAACATTTTTATCAAAAATAACTTCGCAAAACAAAAATTAGTTACAAGAATGGCATCATTTTATATTTTGACAAATCTTTTTAATGCCTAATTTAATGGTAGATAAATGGATTCTCATATATATGTCTGCATTTAATCACTTGTGAAATCACAAATCAGGTAGCTTCTGAGAAACTCCACGATACACTTGTAAGACAGAGTGAAAAAGGTCACTGATCTCATCAAGGCTCTCTACAACACCCATGACTAGTAGATGCTCAGATCACACGGGAGCATGCCCAGTGACTAGAAACTCCTAGTTCCCCAGAAATCCTACCACTCCCCCAAAACATCACTAGGATTGGAAAGATCCTCCCTCTGTCACCCTCCCTTTGCTCTCCCATTAGTCTGGTGATTCAGAATAAGTTTAATCATTCCTTTAAGGCTAAGACCCTTCTATCATTTATTTTAAGGGTTATTCATAACTCTGCAGTTTACAGGGTACTTTTGTCCATGCTCCCTTAAAAAAAAAAATCTTTAAAGTAATCAGTTGAATTCTGAATGAAAATTTCAAAAGGATTTATCATGAATAAGGCCCTCCTGATACTTCCAAGGACCTTATGATCTCTTACCAGACACAAATAGCCCTAGAGCAACTGTTTTCAGATATCAGACTGGCAGAACTTAACAGATGACATAAGGAATGGGATGGTAAAATTAAAAGAACACTGAAAACAATCAGTGCAACTTATCTATTTATTATTTTTTAAAGATTTTATTTTTAAGCAATCTCTGGCACCCAACGTGGGGTTCAAACCCACAACCCCGAGATCAAGAGTCGCACGCTCCACAGACGGAGCCAGCCAGGCACCCCTCAGTCAGTTCACTTTAAAACAGAGATTTCTCTTTTCTGCTTAAGGCACAGCCTTCTGATTGCATTAGACATCCAGTCTTGTGTTTTAAGTTCCTCCTATAGCTTCCTGAAAGTTTCATGCATGTTTCCACACGCCTCTCATACATATTTGGGTTTAGCTGTTCACCAAAATTGTCCCCTAGGTCTCTGTTTAGAGATGACGTTGGAGATGACGTCTGCTGGTTTGTGAGAATGGAAAGACAAACTTTGTGGCTGGTTCTGAAACATAGAAACAAGCCTGGAAACATTTCCCAAAAAACTATCCAGAATAGAGAATAAAGTTTCTCTTCATGTTAACCCTAAACTCTGAGGAGAAAGAGCGGTGCTTGGCAAGACTTAAAACTTAAGTTTGAAATCCTCTCATATCCACATCAAAATACTTGGCACTCACACACACAAAAAAGCACACTGTTGGTAGGTACGTAAATTGGTGCAGCCACTATGGAAAACAGTATAGAGGCTCCTCAAAAATTTAAGAATAAAATTACCAGATGATCCAGCAATGCCACTTCTGGGTATCTATCCACATGAAATCAGGATTTCAAAGCACTATGTGCACCCCACGTTCATTGCAAATTACTCACGATAGCCAAGTAATGAAAAAAACATGAATGTCCATTGACAGCTGGAAGGCGAGAGAAAATGTGGTATATACATACAATGGAATCTTATTCATCCATAAGAAGGTAGGAAATCCTGCCCTTTACATGGATGAACCTAGAGGGCATTATGCCAAGTGAAATAAGCCAGACAAAGACAGACACTGTATGATCTCATTGATATGAGGAAGCTAAAAAAAAAAAAAAAGTTGAACTCATAGTTACAGAGACTAGAATGGTGGTTACCAGGGGCTAGAGGGGAAGGGGAAATGGGGAGATGTTGGTAAAAGGATACAAGCCTTCAGTTATAAGTATTGGGGATCTAATGCACAGCATGGTGACTATAGTTGATAATACTGTATTGTATACTTAAAAGTTGCTAAAAGAATAGATCTTATGGGGGCACCTAGGTGGCTCAGTTGGTTAAGCAACTGCCTTTGGCTCAGGTCATGATCCTGGAGTCCTGGGATCGAGTCCCGCATCAGGCTCCCTGCTCAGCGGGGAGTCTGCTTCTCCCTCTCCCGTTCCCCCCTCTTGTACTCTCTCTCTCTCTCATTCTCTCTCTCAAATAAATAAATAAAATCTTAAGAAAAAAAAAGAATAGATCTTATGTAAGCATTCTCACCACACACACACAAAACAGGTAACCACGTGAAGTGACAGATGTGTTAATTAGCCTTATTGTAGTAATCATTTCAAAATACGTACATATATCAAATCATCACAACGTGCACTTTATCTTACAATTTTATTTGCCAATGGTAGTGAATATATGGTTAGGAAGAAATCATCATACTGTGTACTTAAATAATGCAATTTTATTTGTCAATTATATGTCAATAGCTGGGGAAAAATAAATAATAGGAGAAAATAGAAATAAAAGTGAAAACAAAATGAATTGAATCTATCTGAAAGCCATTTGCTGATATTTTCAATGTCCTAATTCAGAAGGATCCATTCAGAATAGATACCTCTATTACATTATGGGATTTATGGAACATAACACTGTCCCTGAAAAAAATTTAAATTAATATCACACAATTCAGGGAATTCATTCAGCTATTTCTTATCTTCTTTCATTGTATAATAGAGGAAAGTTCAAGATTAGTATTTTACTCTTGATAGTAACAGCTAACATTTATTGAGCACTTACTATATCAAGGATTGTACTAAGTGCTTTTCAGCTTTAGCTCATTTAATCCTAATAACTCTACTAAGTACCTTAGTTATACCCATTTTACAGATGGAAAAACAAAGTTTAGAACACAGACAGCTAAGTTCCCAGAACTAGAAAATGGCAGCGAAGGAATTGCAAGCAACCTATGAAATGCCAAAATTCAACCTCTGAATCAATGCACTGTAAAAATCTAGTAGCATGATAAACCTTCAATACGTTTGTATTGGGATGGTGATTTTTTTACAGTTTGATCTTGGAAAGGATGAACTGAGAACTGCCTGGCAACATCAGGGTGGGGAAAAAAAAGCCTTTGACTTGTCACAACATGCCTATTATGTGGAAGACCTTGAAATGACCTTCCAGGCATCAGGGAAAATATTCACTTTAACAGTGATTGAAGATATTTGAAAACTAACAAAATGAGAAAAGAAACAGTAAAAAATTGATTTGACTGCATAAGAGTAATATTAATTAAAACCATCTGTGTGCTTGCATCTACATTTATTGTACATGATATGAGATTGCACAGACTTTGTGCATTTATTATATATGCTTTATTTTATAGCAACAAGTTCTTCCCATTGGACCTCTCAGACCACATTTGAGTGCAGAGAAGTGGCACGGTATGGGCTTGGGTGCCTCCTCATCTGGGTCTGAAACCTGCTGCACCTTTTATTGGCTGTGTGGCTTTGGACAAGCTATATAAATTCTCTAACCTCAGTTTTCTCACCTGTAAAATGGAGATTTAAAAAGTGAAAGATACGTCTTAAATCTAGGATTTAATACGTGTAAAGCACATGGTGCTTTGCTAACTAATAGTTGTATCATTATAATGAGCAATAAGCATGGCTATCTCATCAGTTTTGAAAACTTGAAACAGTTTTGCCTTTTTAAATAAAGGAAATCATTGTCCTCACCTCCCTCTATTCTGTTGCTGTGTTTCTAATTTATAGTCTCACCTCCTCACCGCCCCCTATGCTGGGACTTCTCTATCCTTTAGCAAATACAATAACTTGCTAAGAGAGGAAAAGAGAATAAACAGAGTAGAGGGCTGGAGTAAGAAAAGAATGAGAATAAAAGGTGGAGGCTATTTTTAAGTTTATAAAACAACCTCCACTGACGCGCACGGCAGAAATAGATCCTGCATTGTGAACAGAGAGGGGACCGTTCTTCATGAAACTTCTGGAGTGGAAGGGCGAAACATTTACAGCAACGAACTAGCCAGGGATGGGGAGAATAGACCTGTCCATTCCGCAGGCAACACTCCTGTCTGGTCACACAGAAATACCCAGCGTCCAGACACAACCACGCTGACTGCACCATCAGAACAGCCAAGACATCTAAACTAGGAACAGGTGAACCCAGAGGTATATTCTATGGGATTTTAAAAGACGGAACAGGGAGAACAAGAGATACCATTCCAGGGCTTGATACTGGCCTTAAACATAGGATATTAAACATGTATAAATCGGAGATAATAGAGACCATCAGCAAAGTGTGCATAAACAAATTAAGTGCTCAGTAATCTTTGGGAAACTCTAATGTCTGACACTCCTTTTATTAAAGGGAAGGAGAAAGTAGGTCATAGGATCTCAGCTTAGAGAGGAGAGGAGGCTAAGCATCTGAGCCTGTTGAGATAAAAGAGGATGCTTCTGGGGGCCTGGAGGGCAGAGAAACAGGGAATCCTCCTGAGAACCTGCATTGGGGTCTTCAAGAAGCTGTCATTTGTATTTAGAAGAGTATTTATTATGTTTGAGAATTATACAAGAAGAATATTGTCAGTGGACCAACTTCTAATGGGTAGGTAGTTGGGAGAAACACTTATCATTGACTTACTGTTTGCTCCTGGGAACACTATTTAATCTTTATCACTTTAATTTATCTGTCAATAAAATATGGGAAAAACTATGGCCTCACCCTGCATTTCAGAGATAGGAGAACCGCACAAGAGGGCCATGGTCCATTAGGAGAGCCGCCACTCAGGCACGGATAAATTCTTCCAGTCCGTGATGAAAACCTCTGCTCGGCCACAACCGCCTGTGGAGGAGGGAGGAGTGGGTCATGAACTCTCGTGTGGAAATTCAAAACGTAAAAAGGAAGAAGAATGGGTGAGAGGACTCAGTGGCCTGAGGTATCAAAGGAATTTGAGACAAATGATGAAAAATAAGAAAATGCAAGACACTCCCACCCCATGTTCCTTCTGGTAGGGACCCAGGCAATTTCTGCCCCCACAGTGGCCCTTCCTCTTAGATTCTTGCTCCTTCAGAGCAGGCCTCAACACCTCTTGGGAAATTGGGCAATGCCACCATAACTGCCTGTCCCCACGGCCCCTTCACTGTGCCTTTTTTCTTCCCCTTTATACCCCTAGCCACCTTACTCCCTAGCTAGGTCCTGCCCTGCCCTGCCCCACCCCATGTGCTCTATCACAGACTCCTGTGTCTTTCCTTTATAGCACTTAGCACAAGTTCCAATTATATATTAGTTTACTACGTAATGGAGGCCGGATCCATGTCTCCGGGGTTCATTACCACATTGTAGCTCCTAATACTGTTCTTGGCACATAGATGCACTCAATAACATCTTTTAAATGGATGGATGAGCAAATGGCTGCCTGACCCTGCTGACTGTCTCAGGCAACCCACTCATGGTCAGGGGCAGCCTGTACCCCGGGCGGGTTTGTTTATTGTCCCTAGGGCGTGGTGCAGAGGAGAAATCTACTTAGGAGTTGAGTGCCCCCAGAAGGACTGACTACTCCCTTAGGAAACAAAGCAGCCACTTCTCTCGGAGGGTTCCTATGCTGCCACTATGCAACTGTCCCTCCCTGGACGGCAAGAATAGGAATAAACCACTACTCTTCAAAAGGAACCTCCCCGCCCCTTCAACTACCACCTCCCTACTAGAAACACCTCCAAGCATTTTCAACCACCCACTCCTTCCGGCCTGCCCCCCATGCAGACAAACCCTGCGTGAGAGGCCAGCAGGCCAGCTCTCCTACTCCCCTGTGGTAGCAGGTCCTCTTCAGATAAAAGGAAATGGCAATATGTTCAAATTAATTTTAAAAGGATTCTGTGACTTATAGTGATTTCTAATAGCAAAAACAGTAAATGTTTTTCTAACCAAAATAATCCACCCCATATTAGTTTTGAGGTTCCTGGATGAGATGCACTAAAATAAATAGTCTCTTTCATGCTAATGCAGCAGCGAAGGTGAAATGCTCCCAACACGGATCTATTAAAACATAGGTATTTTATCCGGGCCCTGCTCTAGATCTTTATTTTCTAGATCTCCTTTATGTTCATCCTCAAGAAACATATTCACATTACCTAGTAAAAGATATAGAAGGTTGGCATGAATTTTTCTGATTGACTTTGTCACTTATCACATGGTTGCTTCTTCACCTGTTACATTTTCTGTTCAAATATATGGAGTTCATTTTTGAGTTTCCAATTTGGGCCTCAGATTTTGACATAATTTCTTGGCATGGAGAAAAAGAAAAAAAAAACAATTAAAATATATGCTTGCTCACAGGTTATTCTGATCCTGAGAATTGTATTTGCTTCTCTTTAATCCTCCCTTATTAAGTATACTTCTAAGAAGTGACTTCATGCATCTTGCAACACACCGCACCCTTTAAAGTGGAGGCTTCGTTGGAGTGCTGACTAAAGCCCTGTGCTTCTTTGCATAATGCTCCCCGAGCCCTTATATTAGAAAGAAGATAGGCATCTGCCAGTGCCTCTTATCCTATCAGTTCCCAAAGGTACAAAGCATGACCTACATGTTGTGGGCTCTCTATAAATGCAGGAAGACCACTGCCATGGAATCAGCTACATTTAATGCCATTGTAAACTGTTGTCAACTTTGCTTCTCTACTTACAAAACCGCCCACCACCACTACAGAGATCTCCTGGGGCCCTAGGACTCAGACCCAGATCACTCTACCCTCCGTTATTACTTCCGCACCTGTGAGAGAGCATCTTAGCAAAGAGGCTTCTGGGTGAAGTCACCTCTTCTTCTCATAACCACTCTTTTTTTTAGTCTGAGAGAAATCTGTCTAGCAAAACTTCAATTTTTTACTAGCTCCAAAAAAAGCTCTCAAAACAAGGATGTCAACCTGGATTAAGAACATATTCAAGCAAATGCAAGTTACATGATTTTTCATTTCTTTTACCCAACTTTAGCTAGGAAAAATACCAGGAAGGACTAACAAAAAGAATGAAGATTATACTGAGTCATTTGCTGGAATTCCATGATTCTTTGTTATTTTTCCCTTAATCCTGGCCATTTCTCAAATATCCTTTACTAGTTCCTCTCTTTGACTCCTTTTTCTAATGTATTTTTTAATAGCTAATGCTGTTAAATTGAGACATAATTTACATACCATAAACTTGACATGTTTTAAGTGTCCAATTCAGTGATTTTTCCACGCTACCACAATCCAGTTTTGGAACATTTCCATCACTCCAAAAAGGTCCCTTGTGTGCATGTCTTTCTTAGCCAGGAGCTTAGTCTTGGACCGCTGCTCTTTATACTCACATCCTAGATGATCTCATCTGGTCTCCACATTTTAAATACCAGATGTATACTGATGACTCCCAAATCTATATCCCCACGCTGAACCTCTCCCCTAAACTCTAGACTCATCTCCTCTTAGATGTCTAATAGGCATCTCAAACTCAGCATGCCCAAAACTGAGTTTTGATCTTTCACTAAAACTGCTCCTCCCACAATCCTACCCAGTTAATAGTAATTCTTTATTCCAGTTGCCAATGCCAAAACCCTGGGAGCCATCCTGACGCCTCTCTTTCTTCACACCCCAACACCCAATCCACCAAGAAATCCTATTGGCCCTACCTGTAAACTACAACCAGAATCCAGCTACTTCTCATGCCGACACTGCTAGCAGCTGGGTTCAAGCCACCACATCTGCCCCCTGGATAACTGCCATAGCCCCATTACTTCTCTCCTGCTCCTATACTTCCTCCCTACTTTCAGTCCTCAACACAGGAGCCCGAGTGATTCTTTTACGTTTTAAACCAGACTATGTCATGACTCCACTCAAAACCCTGCAATGGCTTCCCATCTCACTCAAAACAAAAGCCAATATCCTGACAGTGGCTCACTGGTCCTCATATGTGCTCCCCAGGAGCATTTGTGGTTCCCATAAGACCTCATTTCCAAGTGCTATTCCCCTTGTTCACTCTGCTTCAGTTTCACTGGCCTCCTTGCTCTTCCTCAAATACACGTGGCTCAGAACCTCAGTACTGATTGTTCCTTCTGCCTGCAAAACTCTTCCCCAGGAAACTGCCTAATTTCTTTATCTCCTGGAAGCCTTTCCTCAAGTCTTACTTCTCAGTGAAGCCTACCTACATCACCCTGTTTAGATTAGATTAGACTAGATTAGATTAGATTAGATTAGGATTAGATTTTTCCCCCCTGCACTCTCAATCCCCCTTACCTCATTCTACTTTTCTCATTGCATAGCATTTTCCACTCTTTAACTTGATAAGCTGCTCTTAAATTTAATAGGAAAAAGCAAAGGGCACAGAAGAGCCACAATAATTTTGAAGGAGAATGAGGAAGGATATTATCCCTGCCAGATATAAAACTTACTATAAAGCTGAAGTCATTAAAAGGGTACAGCAATGGTGCAGAGATGGAAAAAACAGGACCAATCAAATAGGATAAGGGCCCAGAAATAAACCCATGCCTACATAGGAACTTGGGATATGACATTTTATCATCACAAATCATTGAGAAAGAAAAGATTCTTTAATAACTTGTGCCAGGACAATTGGTTTTCTATCTGGAAAAAGATAAAATTAGATGTCTATTTTACATCATACACAAAGTAGATTCCAGAGGGATTAAGAGGCTAAACACAAAAAGAAAAACTTTCAAACCTTAGAATAAAATATAGGAAAATATATTTATGACATCCTGGTAGGGAAAGTTTTCTCAAAAAGATAAAAAATGCAAACTAAAAGGCAACCTATGGAATGGGAGAAGATATTTGCAAATGACATATCCAACAAAGGGTTAATATCCAAAATATATAAAGAACTTATCAAACTCAACACCTAAAAGAACAAAAAATTCCAATTAAAAGATGGACAGAAGACATGAGCAGACATTACTCCAAAGAAGACATACAGATGGCCAATAGACACATGAAAAGATGGTCAACATCATTCAATTCAGGGAAATGCAAATCAAAACTACAATGAGATATCACCTCACACTTGTCAGAATGGCTAAAATCAACAGCACAAGAAACAACAGGTTTGGGCGAGGATGTGGAGAAAAGGAACACTCAGGCACTGTTGGTGGGAATGCAAACTGTGTAGCCACTGTGGAAAACAGTATAGAGGTTCCTCAAAAAGTTAAAAATAGGGGTGCCTGGGTGGCTCAGTCGGTTAAGCCCCCGACTCTTGATTGCAGCTCAGGTCCCGGTCTCGACGTCATGAGATGGAGCCCTGTGACTGGCTCCAAGCGCAGCAGGAAGTCTGCTTGAGATTTTCTCTCTGCCCCTCCTCCTGCTTGCGCTCTCTCTCTCCCTTTCTCTCTCTCAAAAACAAAACAAAACCACCTTTAAAAAAAAAGTAGAAACTAGAATGAAAATGAACCCTTTGAGGCAGTGGCCAGGGTACGTGCACTGAGGTTTACTAACCCTCACATCAAAGTTCTGATTCTAGGCTTTCAACCCTTGGGCCTCTCGGGCAGCCCCCCTGGTTGATTTCCAGATGCTCACCAACAGGCCTTCTCTATTTTAATCAGGTTGAACTCCTTAAAATTCCTACTATGGAGTTTACATTTTCTTTTCTCTCTTCCCTTCCAGAAGCTGTCCTCCCCATCTGAAATACCATGCAAGAAGTTAAATATGGCCACAGATTTTTTTACAGCAATTCCCATAAAAAGGTGGAAGCTATTTCCCCACTGCCTTGAATCTGGGCTGACTTTGTCACTTGCTTTGACCAACAGGACGTGGCAGAAGTGACATCCTACGATTTCCAAGCCTTGGCTTCCAGAAGCCCTGAACCCTCTGCTTTCACTCTCTTTGAAGACTGCGGTCATGAGAACAAGCCCATCTGTGAGGATGAGAGAGACCACATGAAGAAGCCCAGCAGTCCAGCCATTACAGAACCTTTTACTGAGGCTCCAGACTGTGAGCAAAGCCATCCATGGCCAGTTGACCCACCAACAACTGCAAACACATGCAGAGTGAGATGAACCATCCTAGCTGAGCTCTGCCTAAATTGCCAAGCCAAAGAACAGTGACAAATGAGTGACATCTTAAGCCCTTAAGTTTTGAGTGGTTTGTAATACAGCAGTAGATATGCTAACACATGCTCTTTTACTCCTTTCTTCCTAATATGTCTACCACCTTCTTGTAGACTGAACTTCAAAGTCACTCCTCCAAGAAATTTTCCCTGATGAAAACTTGCCCTGCAAAGCCAGCCTCACTCAGGTTTAAGACGATGCCCTCTAGGGCGCCTGGGTGGCTCAGTTGGTTAAGCCACTGCCTTCGGCTCAGGTCATGATCCTGGAGTCCCGGGATCGAGTCCCGCATCGGGCTCCCTGATCGGCGGGGGGTCTGCTTC